GAAGGTTGAAACAATATAGCTACGGGATACTCCGTAGAAGTGTTTACACAATTGGCAAGGGCATAGTTAGTACAATTTAAGGAGTACACTCCAGAGTCATTACTTCGTGATAGATTGAGGGGGCCTACCAGCAGAGCATAAGGCTCAGGAACACAGGCAGTGGTAGAAACGTTCCATGCTGATCCGTTGCCTGAGATTCCGTGTGGGGACACAGTCACATTGACCTTGTAGACGGTAATTCGTCCCAAGCTGGCAGTCAGCTTCCACAAGTCAGTTTGCCACGTCTTGTTCCCGGTCCATAACCTTGCGACCTGTTGCGTAGGATGGCAGTCGGCGTCTAGGGGTGCCCATTCGCAGATTTGCGCGTTACAAACAGTCCAGTTGTCATGGCAGCTTTTCCAGTCAATCCCGCCGCTGCTTTGGGACACCCTTTTAGAACACGCCTTCATTTTCTGCGGCAGCGGGCCAGTTCCCCTGTTAGAGCAATTGAAAATAGGGTATAGGTACTTAACATTCCAATAAATCCCAGAGCGGGACTGGTTTCCATCAGATTCAAGGGTATGCCTCAGTCGGACGCAATGAGGCAGGGAATCAGTCACAGTAAAACAAATGGGGGGAAACTTACTGACTCCGAGATAGGAATAGCCGTCCCTCCATTGCGGCCAAATATGAGCGGCCGAAGGGAGGCCCAAGATCTTAGTATCATTCACATATACAGGTACTTGAAGATCATCCCAGGTTACAGGATGTAACAAGGGAGGGTTAGGCAGATATGCCCAAAGATTTTCCGCCCGTCCCACAGGGAAGGTCAGTAACCAAAGAAAGAAAAGAGCCTGGAGAGCTGCTGTCAGGGGCATCATTGCCAGGTCCTGTGGGCGGTCCACAATATCACGGCTTCGATGCTCAGGCGTCAGATGCAGGCGTTGGAATCGACGGCGAAGCCGGGCGATCTTGGTTCGGGGCATGCTTCACACACCGCGCAGGCAGCCACCGAGGAGCAGGGGCATCTGTGGGAAAAACACAAACATATCCTCGACCCCACATTAAAGCCGTATCAGGGCCATGCCAAGTACCGGTTAGAGGATCCCGCCACAGTACCAGAGGATGAGCCTGACGTTGTGGATTCCAAAACCGGTCTGCGGCGGAACGTCCATCATCATCCAGAGTTAAAAAATTTATGACAAATAAGGTATGCATAAGTAGCTTTTGCGGAGTGGGTTTGTCTCCCGAAACTAGGGGAGCAGACTCAAGGTCGGGCTCAACGCACTCATGCGTCGCTGGTCCTGGAGCTGAAGAAGGAGCGAGGGAAGGCAGAGGTGGTGGAGGGTCGGCAGGCGGCGCCAAGGTGGTAATAGACTGAGAGCGCCGCAGGCTTCCCCGAAGCCGCCGCCATTTTTCTGCCTCACTATCATTAACCAGGCAATCCCTTATGAGAGACCACAAAGCGAAGGCATCGACCGGGGTTTGGTCGGGCCCGTGAGCTTGAAAGTGGCCCTGGATGCGATCGCCAACCTTTTTCCAAGTTTCAATATTAATAGTGCCATCAGAGGGGAACCAGGGACAAACAGTCTTAACGAAAGCAAGAAATTTAGCCAGCTGCGAAGCCTCCACACGTACCCCTCGCAGCTGCAGCATTGTTTGTAAAACCTGAACAAAAAGATCAGCGCTAGAAGCCTGCCCCATAATTTCTTACTCCCAGTGACAAAACCTCATCCAAGACTGCCACTTACCCAAATTTCACTGCGCGCGCCACCGACAGTCTTGCCCCAAGAAGCCTTCAGGTCCCTGTTCGGGCGCCACTTGCCGCGAACCAGCCGCGGCGAGCAGGACTGTGCTCCGGAGGTGAAGAAGAAAAGAAAGAGACGAGACAATGGGGCTGGGAGGGCTCTCTCCCTCAGGGATGCTGAGTGAGAGTCAAGCAAGCTTTATTCAGAGCCAGAGCATTTTATACGGCATTTCAGGGCATCCGGCCAACCTTCTGACCTTCTACGACATTCCTAGATACGACATTCCTTTAGAGGAGGCTGCAGCCACACTGGCGTCTCAGAGGAATGTTTCCCAGATAAGGTAGGGGAGTATCTGGTCTAATTGGATCTGGGAACCATGCGGGGCTGAGCACACAGGGCAGCAGACATGTAGGCGCTCCCTGATTTACAGGGGGCCTCAGCACTGACGCGCCTGGCTGATCTCTTTCAAGAACACCAGTACGCCGCAGTCCAATGCCCGGGGGCCCAGGACCCCACAGGTTAGGGTTCGATTGCACCTAGGGTTAGGGTTATATTGAGGGCTAGGGTTAGAGTTCCGGTTAGGGTTCCGATTGGACCTAGGTTTAGGGTTATGTTGAGGGCTAGGTTTAGAGATCCGGTTAGGGNTGGCCTGTGCGATAGGGCGATGCGAGGTCAATCGCATAATAGTATGAGGGGTGGTAGCTAGAAAATGTAATATTTTGTCCTTGGGCAAATGGTGCTGTATGTTGCCAGTAAAGGACGCTAGTGCCAAGGAGAAGGAATCGCACATGTTCAAAAGCCAGTCCACTTCCGCAGCGGTATAAGGGAGAATAATAGTGGCAGGATCTTGACCAAGGTATAGAGTGCTCAGCTTCCGACCCGTCCGAATGCAGTGGGCCACTAACTCATAGTAAGGCATTAAGTTCTTCGAGGGACTAGCCTTACCATGAATCCATGTCAGAACTCCACCCTGATAAAGGACTCCCGTGGGGGCATGACGAGATGGTAAGATTATTAAGTCCCAAGGGAGTCGATAATCACAATAAGTAAGTCGAGCCGCAGCAAGGGCTCGCTCTACTATCTGGAGGCTTTGACGAGCCTCCGTGGTAAGCTCACGGGGGGAGGTCGGATCAGCGTCCCCTTTAAGGGTGTTAAATAAAGGAAGCAACTGGGCTGTGGATAAACAAAGGGAGGGTCGGATCCAATTAATATCTCCAAGCAGTTTTTGAAAATCATTAAGTGTTTTAAGATGTTCAGTACGAATAACCAATTTTTGTGGGTGAAAATGGGCGGGATGGAGAGTATAGCCAAGATAACTGTAAGGGGCATGAGACTGTACCTTTTCAGAGGCAATCTGAAGGCCGTGCAACTGCAGGGACTGCCGTAGCTGTCCATAGGCTTGCAGCAGGGTGGGGAAGTCAGCATGCGCCAACAAGATGTCATCCATGTAATGAATGATATATACATCTGGATATCCCTCCCGAATTGGGGAAATAGCCCGGTCAACGAACTTCTGACAAAGTGTAGGACTATTAGCCATCCCCTGGGGAAGCACTTTCCACTGATACCGTTGCATGGGTCTCTGCAAATTGATAGCTGGGACACTGAATGCAAACCGTTCCCTGTCCCTCGGATGGAGGGGAATGGTATAAAAACAATCCTTTAAATCTATTACAATTTTATAGGTGTCCCGGGGTATGGCTGCAGGATTCGGGAGCCCTGGCTGCAAGGCCCCCATTGAGCACATAGTGTCATTTACCTTGCGGAGGTCCTGCAACAATCGCCACTTCCCAGACCTTTTTCTTATTACAAAAATCGGTGAATTCCAAGGAGAGTTAGAAGGCTCTATATGGCCAGCAGTGAGTTGTTCCTGCACCAACTCACGTGCAGCAGCAAGTTTCTTAGAGTTCAAGGGCCACTGATCTACCCATACGGGGGAGTTATTCTTCCATACGATAGGATCAGCGCATAGGGCAGGACAAGTCAGTGGCCCGGAGGAAAATATGCAGAGGCAGAAAGTCGAGGAGGAGAATCAAGGTCGGGACCACCTAAATACAGTCTCATCTGTTGCATTAAATCTCGTCCCCAAAGGTTAACTGGCAGGTTGTCAACTATGTAAGGTTGAATGGTTCCCTCTGCCCCAGCATCAGTCCTCCAGCGCAGCAGGGCACTGCTCTGTCTGGGTGCAGTAGATTGACCAATGCCCTGCAAGGCAGTGTAGGCCTCCTGAGACGGCCAGGCACGCGGCCAATGCTGGGAGGATATTACTGAGACATCTGCCCCAGTGTCCAAAATTCCTGAAAAAAGTTTTTCCTCAATCCATATATTCATAGTGGGGCGATTATTCTTAATAGCAGTCACCCAATAAGCATCAGAGGAACCGAAGCCTCCTGTTCCCCTTTTGGTCTCCTTTACTCGGCCCTCAGCGATAAGGGGCAATAAGATAAGTTGAGCGACACGAGTACCCCTAGGGAGATCAATAATCCGCTCCATGGTGGCAGCCATTACTTTAATTTCTCCTGTGTAATCCTGGTCAATCACCCCCGGGAAAACTGTTAAGCCCTTCAAAGTGGTGCTGCTCCTTCCCAACAAAAGTCCCCAGGTGCCAGGGGGTAGAGGGCCATTGATGCCAGTCGGCAACAACTGGCGGCCCATTTCAGGGGACAGCACTACATGGTCACTGACGGCGAGGTCCAATCCGGCACTCCCTGGAGTGGCTCGGTAAAGGGATTGGACGGCGAGGCGGCTACCCCTATTGTTTTCTGGGCCCGGGGTCGGCCCCCCGACAAGTTTCCCGTCAGGATATTGCCTTGAACGTCAGTTTGCGACCGACATTCACTCGCCCAGTGTTTTCCGCGTCGACAACGAGGGCAAACTTCTGTCGGCCCGGGCCTAGGCTTCCGATCGAGAACACCTGGAGGATCTGCTCCCCGAGGGCAATTGCGCACTAAATGCCCCGTCTGACCACAGCCAAAACAGCTCCCAGGGGGCCCTGGGACTCGTCGTCCATTGGAGCCCCCACCCCCGCGATCGCGACCACGACCAAACTGCTGTTGGACTATAGTTGCCAGAGGCACACCTTTCATAGCCGCAGCCATACTGAGTCCCNTACACCTTTCGTAGCCGCAGCCGTACTGAGTCCCTGTACATAGCCACTGCCAATATCAGCACAGAGCCTGATCATATCATTAATTGTGGCCTTCCCTTTCCAGGGGCGAATCGCGGCCTGACATGCAGTATTGGCATTCTCAAAAGCAAGCTGTTTCACAAGAATAGTTCCTGCCTCAGGGTCCTCTACTAGCCGAGCCGCAGCCTGTAAAAGGCGGGCGACAAAATCTTGAAAT